ATGCCAATGTCTATTAGTCACTCGAAAATACACAACACACAAAACAAAAATTCACCATTTATTCTAGAAAAAATTTAATTGGTACAATATTTAGTTTTGTTGTCTTCTTGCCGATGTTTCTTTAATACGCAAAAAGTGTAAAGTAAATATTCACTCATCTTTTAACAAATCATTCCTTAAATTTAAATCAATATAAATTTTATAAGGCTAAAGCCATCAAAAAGTTATGATTTTTTTTTTCACAATTTTATCAACAACGTTTCAATATAGTTGAATTTTCACTTGAAATCTTTCAGTGGTAAGGGCAGCGGCCTTGGTAGCTTGACCAACGTGAGTGCTAATTTCAAATTGGTGCGAAAGAAAACAGTATACGTAGCGTAAATCTAATGCCAATGTCTATTAGTCACTCGAAAATACACAACACAGAACAAAAATTAACCATTTATTCTAGAAAAATTTAAATTGGTACAATACTTAGTCTTGTTCTCTTCTTGCCGATGTTTCTTTAATACGCAAAAAGTCTAAAGTAAATTAGCACTCATCTTAACGCTTCATTCCTTAAATTTCAATCAATATAAGTTTTATAAGGCTAAAGCCATCAAAAAATTATAATTTTTTTTCACAATTTTATCAACAACGTTTCACTATAGTTGAATTTTTACTTGAAATCTTTCAGTGGTAAGGGCAGCGGCCTTAGTAGCTTGACCAACCTGAGTACTAATTTCAAACGTGCTGACGTGGCGAAAGAAAACAGTATACGTAGCGTAAATCTAATACCAATGTCTATTAGTCACTCGAAAATACGCAACACACAACTGAAGTTTCACAATAGTTGAATTTTCACTTGAAATCTTTCAGTGGTAAGGGCAGCGGCCTTGGCAGCTTAGCGAGCAGCCAAAGCGTGTCCTTCCGCCAAGGAACCAACGTCGAGTTCGGTTCAAACGCATTCAACGCCAACGGCGGGGGCGCTGAGCCCCCTCTTGATGTAGCCTACAGCCTGGACCCCATCAGTAACAAAAACCGCGATTTCCATAATCCCATGTACGACGCCGTCCAAAACAACGCCGACACTGTCGGAAACGGTAGCGGAGGTGAGACCGCCCCCCAAATGGGGGCTAAAAACTAATTGATTTTTCTTGCAGCCTTGTACGAAGTCCCAGTGGATGTAAAATCAAAGGGAGAGACTTTCACTGAGCCCCCGAGTGCGGTGATTGCCCCCTCGAGTGTCACACATCGATCGTCGCCCCAGGTGCAAGTGAGGCACCGCGAGTTGGATCCTGCCGCCGCCGACACGGGGAAAGACACCCAAAAACTAGTAGAAGAAGACTGCTGATATAGGAGTAAATGTTCGTTTCATTGGTTAGTGTTAATTAAGAGGTAGTGAAATTCCAACAACTTTTCAATACCAAAAATCGAAGAAAAAGAAATATTTTTATACAAGGTGTCGGTTTTATTGAGATTAAATTGGCCTAACTCACAAAAAACAACAACAAAGTGCCATTGACACCTAATTAACAACGGGTTGTGCCAATTTAGCTTTCTTCCGAAATTATGCAATTATTAGATCTTCCATTTTATAATTCTGTAAATATAGATCATAATATGAATTATCTTGTGAGTGATCCAATTTTACACTAACATTCACATTCCAGTATTTGCAATTGATTTAGTATTAAAGGTAGCAAGTTGTACAGTGTGGTTATAAATGATTGTCATCTAGCCAACTTTGGAATTTTTTGTAATTTCCAATAATAATTGATAATAATGTATACTTTGGATTAAAACAAGTTAATAATTTTTTATTTTACATGGAAAATTGCAGCTGGCTAGATGAAAATCATTTATAATCACATTGTATATTCCTTCAGTTGGTTTTATTTATGACACCGTCCACGCTTGGGTAATGTTGATGTAATAACACATTTGTTTAAAATTCATTTTAAATTTTATTGAATTGTTATTTAATTCATATAATTTTATATAAAAAATTTTATGTTACGTTTTTAGAGATGTCTATTGTGAACATTATTAAATCCTTCACTTATCCACACTTTTTTAACCTTGAGAGTAACCTCATCCAGTCATTACGTCAATAAGAAGAGAGTACTTATTTCAAATTTAATAATTTTCACAATAAGTGCTCGGTTCCAATCGTGTATCTGTACATATTAACTATTGATAGTTTTGGGAGCAAAGATGTATGTTTTACAGTAAATAATAAAAGGTTGTTTATAATCCACTGTCTTTACTTTCAATCCCTAACACCAGCGACTACGACTATTTTTTGGAGCCCCACATTTTTTGGTTCAATTTTTTGTGGTAACTTGCAATTTTTTGAAATTTCATTTTTCAATAAATTTAAGTTTCAAACGATCAATTGTTTGCTTAATTTTTTGTTAATAAATATGTAGTTCAATTTTTTTTGTAGCCACAGTTTTTGTGATAATCTACAGTTTTTCTGCTTAATTTTTTGTCCTAACGAGAGATTTTATTTTTCAATTTTCTATACCAAAATTTCAAACATCAGAAAAAACTGCCATATCAAAACTGCGATTTTTGGCCAATTTTTTGTTAATACGAGTAGTTTTTTGTTCAATTTTTTGTGGTCACCTGGAATTTTTTGTCCTACTAGACTTTTAATTTCAAATATCAGGAAAATTACAATATTCAAACGAACAATTTTTTGCCCAATTTTTCTTTTAGAACGAATAGTTTTTTGTTCAAATTTTTTGTAGCCAAAGAAGTTTTTTGTCCAATTTTTTGTGATCATCTGCAGTTTTTTGATTAATTTTTTGTCCTAACGAGAGATTTTATTCTTCAATTTTCTGGACCAAAGTCAAATTTTCTGAATTTTCTGATGTCTGACATCAGAAAAACTGCAATATTCAAACGAGCGATTTTTTGCTCAATTTTTTGTTAATACGAGTACTTTTTCGTTTAATTTGTGATCACATCTCATTTTTTGTTTAATTTTTTGTCCTATCAGAGATTTTATTTTGCAATAAATTTCTTGACTTTGAATTTCAAATATCAGGAAAATTACAATATTCAACCTAGCGATTTTTTGCTCATTTTTTGTTAGGACTAGTAGTTTTTGTTAATTTTTTTGTAGCCACTGATGTTTCTTGTTCACTTTTTTGTGATCATCTACAGTTTTTTGCTTAATTTTTTGTCCTAACGAAAGATTTTATTTTTTAATTTTCTAGATCAAAGTTAAAATTTCAAACATCAGAAAAACTGCAATATTCAGACGAGCGATTTTTTGCTGAATTTTTTGTTAGTACGAATAGTTTTTTGTTCAACTTTTTGTGATCACCTGGAATTTTTTGCTTAATTTTTTGTCCTACCAGCGATTTTATTTTGCAATAAATTTCTAGACTTAGAATTTCAAATATCAG